CAATCCAAATCATTACATATCTAGATATGGGTTTTATTCTCGAACCATGCAATGTTTTATATACGAGTGACATGGGTTCGGAATCAGGCCTGACCAATCGGTCTGGATTTCAAAACTTTATTTTGATGGAATGATAAATAGGTCAAAGATTGAAAAAAAAGGGAGAATGACCAATCAGTCCATATCAGAATTTTATAGTCCCAAAGTATAGGGGGAATGCATCCTGACCGTGAATTGATGCCAAATTTATGGGCAGGATGTGGTTTATAGGGGGGAGAGGGCTAGTAGTAGGGGAGCTGGAATTCAGAATTCTGCATCGGGTGTATCCGTACTTCTCTAGAAAAAAAAATACAGCAATATGACAATAACGCATCATGCATTATCTTATTGTGGGCCTAACTATTATTTCAAAAGGCTCTTGAGGCGAGGCCAAAGGCCTAAGCCTTGAGGTGAGTAGGGCTGTTCATAAGAATGCCCAACCCGACCGAATCGACCAACCCGAACTGACCCAACCCGAGTCGGCCGGGTTTTCATCAGTACCGGTCGGTTTCGGGTTGGGAAAATATATAAACTGATATATTGGGTCGGTTTCGGTATTCTTGTGTGAAAACTGAAACCAACCCGACCCGAACCAAACTAGTCTTCTAGACTTCTACTAGTTCGGTAGTTCCTAGTTTGAATAGTTTTCTACTTAACTATAACTAGTCTTCTACTAGAACTAGAAGGCCCATTAGGCAATTACAATTAGAATATGCAATCTATCATAGTTTCTAACTTTCTATAATCTTTTACACCAAATAGGCAACCCATTAGGCAATTACAATTAGAATTCAATTAGGTGTCATTTTGTATAGGAGCAAAATCGAAACCGACCCAAACCGACTCAAACCGACCAGGTCGGTTTGGCCTATCAATGGGTCGGTTTCGGTTTCCACCTCAAGTAACCCGACCAGGTCGGGTCAGTTGGGAAAACCCCAATAAACCGACCCAACCCAACCCGTGAACACCCCTAGAGGTGAGACTATATAAAAAGGTTTAGCCTTAAACTCCATCAGCAAGTCTTAGACCTTGAATTATTTGAGGCTTAAGTTTTTGGACCTTTGGCCTCAAAATATCCAAGGCTTAGGGCTCAGTTATTCAACTTGCTAATGTGGAATATGAAGGTTTACATAGAGGCAAACATAAATTTAAGACAAAAAAAAAAACTTGTTTTGTATGTATTGGTCTAATGAGCAAATAAATAAACAAACAAATAAAAAAAATGCATATAGAATGTGTAAGAAAATAGTTTGCTTTATTTTTCATACTTTATTCTTACCCATTTGCCCATTTATTATTATTATTATTATTATTATTGATAATTCCCATTTGCTCATTTATATCCTACTTGATATTCTATTTCTTCTAAATATGCATATTAGTGCAAGAAACGAAATAGGAATGCCTTGTTCTTAAAACAATGTTGGTTATCCCTAAATTAAAAAGCTTGATAAAGAAAAAAAGTAAAGAACTATTTTGATAAAATTCTAACCCAAGTTGTAGTGTATATTTGCAGTACCAATACCCCCTTTTAAGGTATTTATTAAAAAAAAACATATATGGTTCAGAGTATCGATAATCAATACATCCCTTTCAGCATATTGGGGTGTATGATACTTCGAACCATGAATCCATATCTAATATACCATGCATGCCATATAAAATCCTAATTTTATGTTTTGATGTCTTTATTGTTTATGGATCAAAGCTTACGCCTCGCCCCTATGAGACATAACCGCTTCATCTCTGCCTTTAACCTTTTAAAACCTTGAGCCTAACAATCTTCTATAAGTTTCCATTTCCCAATAGTTGCTTGAATTTTTCCTAGGCCTGGTTTCTTTTATTGTACCTGTGGGTGATGCACTTAACTGGGCAAGAGTTATCCAAGCAAATTGTGGTGCGAGTGTTTGGGAGAATTGGTACTTATTCGGATAAAGAATTTGGTGAGAAATTTGTATCGTTTTTGACATATGGGTAAGCAATTTATCCACCCTAGAGAGTATCGGTTAGTCTGTCTAGAAAATAATCTTTCCATGAAACCCATTATACTAACGCTAGAATGCGAGAAAATTAGTCAACTATCAAACTGACCAACTTACCCCCCACGAGATACCTGTAAAGGAACGAGACACTAGTATTTGGTTATTTTCCCAGTCTCTTTTCTTTTTAAATTTTAATCAATAAATTAAATGGTATTGTTTCAAAAAAAAAATAAATTAAATGGTACAATATATGGATTGTGAACCCTAAAACTTTCCACCTGACGTGGCATATTATGATTGGACAATCAGAACAATACTTGGGCAACAATGATATAGTATGTACATATGAACACCACAGGCCCACATTTCAGGCTGATATGACAATTGGGCCGGTATCATCCCGTTATGGGTTTCAGAAAAACATATCATACCGTTATTTGCAAAAATTTAATATGCAACAATGCATTGGAATGCATGCCAAATAAGTAACCTAACAATTAGGTTTCTTGTCTGGAAGATCCCATTAAACTGAAAATTCCAATACAGACCACTCATCTGTAGATAGGAATCCTCTAATTCGTCCTTTCTACCTGCTCCTGTGTATTGGAACTTCCCCCAATTAATGTGAACAGTCCATGATTTTAAGTTTTTTTAACACAAATATTCAAATGGGTTATTGCATACCAACCTGATCTTTTCCACCAATAAAACACGTTATAACCCTTTACCAGCTTTACCAACGTTATTATGAGACTGAAACCCATCATAAAGGTAGGACTCGTAATGTATAAGATGTGCCGTGTGAGATTATATTGGTAGAGAGTTAGAATTTATTTTATTGATAAATGATCCGAATTCACCTCCACCGGTGGCTATTTGAAGAAAAAATCTCTTTAAACTTAGTTTGAAAAAAAAATATAAATAGTATAAATACATAAAAAATAATATAAAATATAAGATTTTGCACTCTATATATTTATATTTGTATTCCTTTCAAACTAAGCCTTAAGTGAAATTGTATCTTTTAGTTAAAAACATTTGACCCATGGAAACAAGTTCCTTTTTAAACAATTAAACTCTTGAAAGTCTGACCCATGTTTCAGGCTTGTATCAACTAAGCCGGTCTTGGGCCAAGGTTAAACCCCATGTGATAGGTGCCAAGTCTAGCCTGGCCCAAAATCACTCCTAATAACCAGCAGATTCGGATTCCATGAGAAAAGGAACAAGGATTTAGGTACATTCCATTCTTATCAATAGAACGAGATGAAGTTACTCTATCTAATGATAAAGCTAATTTGGAAGGAATATAAATACAAATATGTAGAGCGTAAATATAAAATTTAAGAATTAAGAATACAATATACATGTACATATTTATATTTATACTCTTCCCAAACTGAGCCTAAGAATGAACATCTAGGGGGATGATTCTACTTATTTTTAAAATCAAGTAATGTTGCTTTCAATCCATAGTAAATACCCTTACACCATTAAAAAAAATGTTTATGTAGAATTTCCATTCAAGTAAAATCAATTAATCAAATGGTCAAAAGTGAAGTTATAATGCTTTCTCTTTTATAAATTGGTACCCAAATCTCTACGGTGGGGGCTGATCTATGACGCATCTTATTCCTTGAAACGTTAAAAGGTAAACTCATGGGGACCATAGCTTACAAATACACCCTTGGTCCCCACATCATCCAATACTAGAGTGAAGAGTCAAGACCCTGTAGAATATGAACCTTCCTTTCTTCTCTTTTTTCTATGACGAGTTATGAAATTCAGACTGGAGTTGGACCCGTTCAGGCTGGTGGGTCACAGGTTGTCCGATGGCCCAAAGAAATTGTGGAAGAAAGATACCAGAATTTAAGAAAACTGATACGTGACAATGCTCTGCTTTGGAAATTGGGACTGGGTCGAAGGTCAAGTAGTCCAGTCCAGTCATTCTAAGCTTCCAGACATTGACTGTCTGTCCTCTTTGGGTGGTGGATGGTATTGGGCTAAACTTGGGCTTTAACCCTTGTTTTAGTAGAAGAGATATTTAGGCGTCGTTTGTTTTTTATTCAGTTAATGCAATTATCCAGATAAATGATTCTCGGGCAAAAATAATCCGAGTAAATTGCGGTGTCAGCGTTTGGTTTTACCATGCTTGTTCGGATAAAGCAACAAAAACAAGGATATGCAACTTATCCCCACAAGACCCATTACACCGGGCACCGGCACTTTGAATGCGGGTAAATTGATCAATTACCCAATTGACCAATTAATCCCCATGAAATACCTATAAACAAACAAACAAGGCCTTAAGAAATCAGGGTCAAAATTTGAAGTAGAACTCGAACATTTCATCCATCCAGATTGCAGAAGCTCATTCCGGTAATCCGGTGCTTTGATTGTTTACTTTGATAATTTGATTCAGTCATGATGGATTTTGTCAGGAGATTAGACCCAGGACTAATTTCCGTGGTCGTGGTCGGTGCTTTACCTTTAAACAGACGTGAAACGCCCTTGGTTTGGTTGTTACTTGTTAACTGTTAAGGATTTAATCCACGCGGTTATCCAAATCCCAAGCCTTTTGTTTTCTTTATTTGTTTTTTTTTTTTTTTTTTTCAAACCAAACCCAGACATAACAAAAGAACTGCAAATGGAAATTTGAAGGAAAACAAAAATAAATTCAAGCGATACAAATTTGTAGATAAAATGCGGCAAATCGACCTATTAACTCCTGTTCTTACCATTTTCACGGGCTTTGTTTTCATTTTATTTTATTTTTCCAATTCCGGAAATAGTTACTGGTTAGACTACGATGGAATGGACCCAGTCGCATCACGAACGAATTAAAAGTTGGAAATGGGTGGTGGGTCTTTGATTCTCAACGAGAACAAGAAACAGAAAGGGTCCGTTGATCTGGTTTCTTCGTGTTGGACAGGACTACCATTCTTGTTGTTCCTAATTTATCCCTGAAAGCGAGGTTTCCTTCAACCGATATCTTTCCGGTTAAAATACAGTGATCCTATATATCTTTTCTTCTGCTAATATTTTAACTCCTGTTTTATGAGAAATTTCTGTTCTTTGCATCGGTTTAACTGAAGTTAATCCTGGGAATCAATCAACTTTTAAGCAGAGTATCTGTGTTGCTTTCACATTAAAACCCTGAATAAAGGAAAAAAAAAGGAAAATAGTCTAACAGTTTAGAAGAGTTGATTCTGGGTGACAGTGGGCTGCGACATCGAGTTCTGTAGGTTCCTGGGTAGATTTTGCCTTTTCTTTTTCCCATAAATTTAAAACCTATTGAAAAATTAGAGTCCGAGTCTTGGTTTTTCAATCGAGGGGTTTCTTTCTTTCTTTCTTGCATGTTTTTCTTTTAGAGCTCATCCTGGAGACCCCTTTGAGTTTTCTTTAAGATTAAAGAAGAGAGAAGGAAATTTTCTTCTTATTGCAGTTTCCACCAGAAAACCAAACTGGACGATATTTCAGTGAAGGAGCCTCTTAAATGGGATTTCATTCGAAAATTTGGAATTGATAAGATTTGGGTTCACCAAATTCAGTTTTTTTCGGGGTGCCATCGTTTTTAACTCTTCTTTTAATTTTATATATAATTAGCTGTTGAAACTTCAAACATCAAAAAATAGAATTCCCGACCGATTTCTCCTCTTTTCCTCGCCCTTGAAAAGAGAAAAAAAAGAATCCCATAGTCTCTCTCCCTCTCTATCTCTCCCTCTTCCTCTGTTCCGCAGGTGGGGAGGGGGAAAACTAGGATATCTCCCAGGTTCTGTATTCCTCTCTCCTTATCTCTCTCCAACCATGATTTTTGACAGGAGGCCAATGCAATCAAACCTTGAATGTTTTCTCGACTGCACGATGCCCGTCGTTCCATCACAGTTTCTACCAAAGGTTTGTATTTGTTATATTTATCCCGTTTCTTATCATTTTCTGCTATATGGAATTAGTATGTTTATTTATTTATACATACAATCTCCTTTACTGTTTCTGCAGACTTCCATGAAGAACCTTAATAGGCTTTGGCATCCTTGGGACAGAGAAACAGTAGAGTATTTCACTTTGAGAGATCTCTGGAGTTGTTATGGTGAATGGAGCGCTTACGGTGCTGGAGTTCCAATCATATTAAGCAGTGAAGAAACAGTTGTTCAATACTATGTTCCTTATCTTTCAGCAATCCAGATCTTCACAAGCCATGCATCCTTATACAGTTTACGGTAACCTTTCTTTGTTTTTCAGTTAGGTTTTCCTTTACTTTTCCTCATTACATTCAACTGCTTTCTGTTTCTTTTTCCAGAACATGTGAATTAGCAGATTTTGAGAAGTTTCTACAATATTGTTTGAATTTCCATTGTTTTTAACCAAAAAATTGAAGTGTAGACAAAGGTAATATGGATGATAGCCACATCTATTTCTCTGTTTCTTTGTTTGTCTGCTTCTATATCCTTGTGATTCACGACTGACAAATTTTAGAGCCAAGACAGACAGAAAAAACGCATGCCATGTCAAGATTTTGACCCTACCCCTTAAGCTCCACTACATTTTCTTTATTGAATTTGCGAATCTTGGTTTTCATTAAATCCTGATTTGGGTGCTTTTGCATTTTAAATTTAGTGGTAGTGATAACCCTTCACCTAGGGCTGTATCATTTGTATCAAAGGGTAACTTTTTACTATATCCATTTTAATGAGGTTGTCTAAACAAGATATCATTCCTGGATTGATATATTATGCCTAAATTTTCTGTATTGCTCAAAATAAAAAGTTAAACATTGAGGTAGTGGTGAAATTAAAAAGAACAATTGACTGGTTTTCAGGGAAGAGACTGAAACAAGGGATATTGAGATAAGAGATTCTTTCAGTGATTCATGCAGCGATGTGAGTGAAAGTGAGAAGTTGTGGAGATTGGACGGTGGTTCCTCTGAGGAATGTGGGCTTGACCAAGAGAACCTCTGGCAGCTTAGTGATAGGTTGGGTTACCTTTATTTTCAGTACTTTGAGAGATCAGCTCCTTATGGAAGAGTTCCTCTGATGGACAAGGTATATTTATCTGCTAATGTTCTTTCTAAAGAACTTTATATCTAGCTTTCTTTATTTACTAGTTATTTTTCTTGGGCCATAAGATGGTAAAGGAATTTTCCTTGGCATCTGACTACATATAGTTGGGACAAGGTTTAGATGATGATGACTTGAGTAGCTTATTCATTTTATCTAATTAGAACATAGAAATAATACGATTATTCTGCTTATAGATTTGTTAGAATGCTTGAATATCATTTTCACTGAAAGAGCACGGTAGGCATTAGATTATCTTCTGATAAACTTTTGACTTCTGAAAAATAAGCAATTCACCATTTTCACTGTTCTTATCCTAAAATTGTTTGCATACTTCATTCTATCTTCTTTTTGTTTTACTTTTAGAAATTTAACTAGAATATGTATTAATTTCTTTATTTGTGCTGTTCAATTAGACTACAGTTTAGTCTTTTTCGGGAGAAGAAATTTATTAGTCAAGACATAAAACCTTAAATTCTGTTGTAAACTTCTAACTAAACCACTGTGTAAAATCGCTGACCTCCCTCTGTAACTCATGTTTCAGATCAATGGATTAGCTCGAAGATTTCCTGGATTAATGACTCTAAAGAGTGTTGATCTTTCACCAGCTAGTTGGATGGCGGTTGCTTGGTTTGTCTTCCTCCTTTTCTCCCTCCTATATTTCTGAACCAGAGTATATTACATACCAGTAGAAGATGAAATGAAAGGATGGATTAGGCTAAAAAGGCATGCTGAAGACAAATTAAACCACAATTATAAACTAACATTACTAGAATCTTGCATCCATGGTTATTATAACTGGGTCAGCAATTGGGTATTTTAGCTAGTCATACTTACCAGCACTCATTTCATAGGTTTCCCACTGCAATTACATCTGTCAAATAATTTTTTGTCTTTTGATCCCAAGTTCCCAACCATTCTACAAATTAGGTGGTTTTGATCATCCAGTCAGGCTCCTCTTCTGACTTTAAGAGGTACTCCAACAAATTTTACTTGGCACGATGGGGCACATGGGAGATGTACTAGTATAAACATCTTCTCACCTAAGAACAATTTTATTGTTGCCTTGGACCTTGAAAATGTACAGTGGTGATATAGAAAAAATGTTTAGATACCGAATGCCATCAAGAATCTAATCAAGTTTATTTTACATCATTACTTGGTGTAAAATTTCGAGCTGTCAAGTCTGAGAATGCGGGTTTAGTGGCCACTTTGTGCAAAAAAATGCCAAAGGTTAGGGCCATATCCAGTCCACCCCTCCTAAGACCCGAGATAGTTGGGACCAACATTGGGTAATGTCTTTTAGGTTTGCCACATTTCCTAATATTGTGCTTATAGGTCATGTGCACTGCATCTATATCTAATAATCAAAAGGTTCCATAATTCCTTTTTTTGTTGAAAAATCTATTCCCATATCATACTAAACTCTGTAACCAAAGTATGATATTGAACCTGTGAATTTGTTCAGGTACCCAATATATCACATTCCCACAGGGAGAACAGTAAAGGACTTGTCTGCTTGTTTTCTGACTTACCACACTCTCTCATCTTCATTCCAAGGTACTCTTCAATTCTCTTTCTCTCTCTCTGAATTTCTTTTATAAATTCTAACACATGTAATGTTGGCCTAATAATATATGTGCGGCACACTGGCCCCACTCATTAGCTCTACACCATCTGATGTCCATGTCAATGCAGATATGGACCCTGAAGAAGTTACTGAGAGCGCCCATAGGAAGCAGAAGGAAGGCGAAGGTATTGCTCTCCCACCATTCGGTCTAGCCACATATAAGATGCATGGAAATGTGTGGCTCTCGGGCGAGAGTGGGCGGGACCAAGAGAGGTTGTTGTCATTGGTGAGTGCAGCAGATTCGTGGCTAAAGCAGCTAAGCGTCCAGCACCACGACTTCAATTACTTCACCGGGATTCGCCATGGATGATCCTGCACAACCGTTGTTTTCAATCAAATTGCCCCTACCCCAAGTAAAGACTAAAGAGTATACGAACAAGGCCTTTCTTATCTTTACTTTAACCGGAGCTTGGAATGGGCCCCAAGCGCGTGGATGGTTGTCTACTCTTATCATTCTTAGCTTGAGCAGTTGCCTGCGTTTAACGCACAATCCAGTGGTGGCTTGATTGAAGTTCATATTCTGATTGACTGGGGACGCCTTTTTTCGCTTGGTCAGATTCAAGGCCTCTTGAAGTTTCCATCAAATGAGTTGAGAGAGATAGAAAGAGAGACAGACAGACATACAGACACTTGTTTTTCTCGGTCTTCTTCTTCCTTGGCAGAGAGAGAGACACAATTATATCCAGAGAGAGAGAAAAAGAGAGGGCAAAATGAGCATTAAGGCTGTAAAATTAAACTTGCATGGATGGTGTACTTAGTCTTCCAACTAGGGAGCCAGATGAGAGATGACATCTCTTCTTTCTTTCTTAGTAGTGGTCTAGGGAAAAAAATGGGAAACGTCCTCTGATCTTCCACATACTTTTGTACTTGGCATTGTGCTCTGCCAAGTCCCATCTCACATAGACACTGATCAGCGTTGTTTGGTTTTGGTGTTTTACATTTTGACACTTGTTTGATCAACGTTGTTGGTTTAAAGGAATGAAATTAAACGTGCAATGAATGAACCATTGACTGATCTTTTATTGTTAAAGCAGATAATTACATTAATGATTGACTAGGTTTCAACTTGGGATAGCCTAAATCCAATCTGAATTTGGGTTGGATCATGTTGAAGTTGTGGTTAGGTTAGGGTTGTGTTCTCTGCCAGCCCGACCCAATCCGGATCCAACTTAACTGCATATTTGCATGTCTAAATATCTTATTTCACTTCGGGTTGGGTTAGTGTTGATCCATTGTGCGAACATGTCTTATAGTCCTGTTATACACTATCATATTAATTTGTTTTAACTCTCAAGCCAAACCCCAAGGACAAAATGTTATTAGTGATTTTCATTCCATAATTTTATGTTTTATTATTAGGGGATTTTTCCTCAACCTGGCCTAACTACATGCATGTATGTGTAACTATGAATCCATAATTATGTAAATGTATGCATATGTATGTTAATAAAAAAAAGCAAAATTTCTCTAAAGCATGATAATTATGCCTTCTTATCCATCTATACTATTATAAATGCATGTACATAGAAATGACTGGAAATTATTAGTATCCCTTTTTCTGCTCCATAAATGCAATTTCCTGTGTTCTTTTCTATTCCAGTAAGTTTTCGTTTCTTTCATTTTTTATCCTTGTTTTTTTTTTTCATTTTTAGTGATTATTTAATATGTAATTTTGTCCCATAGTGGAAAATTAACTTTTTCACCTTAGAAAAAAGTAAGAGTTTCGTAGATAATTTGTCAAAAAAAAAACTTACTTGAAGAAATTTCCATTTCGTAGATAATTTGACCATTTTCCCTGTTGAGTGTTGACCAACTCACCCTCCCTCACGCTTACATGAAAATGACAGGGCCCCAACACAACATTCTGAGCTAGTTTAGAGGTGGCAACGGCATGGGAGACACCCCCCATCTTATCCAGACAAGGAACGTCACAATGATGGTCAGAACTCAGAAGAGCAACCACTACCCACTTCCCCACTTCCCCACTTCCCACTTCTACATAGCAAGTCACATCTGCAACTAGCAACTCTAGAACACTTGACTTCACATCATCACCTCACATGTGTAGGCTTCCTTCATGTCAAACTGGGTTGGGTTGGGAACATCTTTGGTTGTTAAGGCTCAATTTGGAAGGAGTATAAATACAAATTAGTAAAGTGTAAAACCTTATATTTTGTATTATTGTGCATGTATTTATACTGTATAGATTTGCATTTGTACTCTTTCCAAACTCCAAACTGAGCCTAATCATTTTTATAGTTTTATCATGATTTTGAAAATTTCCAATATGTTCAAGATAAAGAGGCACACGTGTCATGTGTCTATTGGTTCATTGAACCAAAGAAAAGAGAGGGGGAGGTTGATATAAATATTTCTAAAATTTTATTTGCTAGTACGAAACAAAGAGGCAACAAGAAAAGATTGAAGTGGAAAATGATAGTTTTGACACCAAGTCTATTTGAATAAATTTAATCAAAAGAAAAAGAAAATAAAAAATACTACGTTTTACTTCTATATGAAGTGTTACGGGTAATTTTGGAATAAATAACCATGGAATCATGCCCTTGTTAGTGAAAGGTCAATTAAGTAAATAGATTGTAAAGTATAGGGGTGTTTTAGTAAAATGAAAACTATAGGGTAGGTTTAAACAAATCCATGAAATTATATGGGGTGTTCTAGTAAATGACCCTAAAGATAGTCAACAAAAGAGGAGAAACATTCTAAGGGGGCGTTGTTTTTTCGGATTTGGAGAGGGGGGAAAGTTGGTCAATGGGATTTTGGTTCCCATAACCAAGAATCCCATGTTCTTTTTTCAGTTTTATGTATGGACCAGAGAAAGTTTATTTTCCTAGGTATCACTTACCCATCTCTTAGGCGGGTAAATATTAAATAACTTTCCCACATTGGGGGAAAGTTGCCAATACCAACACTTGAATGGGTAAAAAATGCTCCTTTTAATAATGGATTTCTATGGTTAATATGATCATTGCCTTATTTACCAGGGAAATAAAAGAACATGGGTAAATGTACTTACCTAGGTAAGTGTTTCTTAGGTAATCGCAATTAAAACGAATGAGGCCTAAAAGCAGAGATCTAGACCGCTCAAATCAAATGACTCTGGGTATGGTATCTCTTAGGAGTCATTTCAGAATCTCTAGCTTTGCTTTGTAACTTAGCATATGCATTTTTTCCATACTTGAACCTTTAAGTTTTTCACTTTTTTGGCTTCATTTTAATGTTATGTACGCCACCCTATGAATTACATTAAGGCTCAATTTGGAAAGGGTACAAATACAAATATGTACAGTATAAATACATATAAAATATAAGGTTTTGCACTCTAGATATTTATATTTGTATTTGTATTTATACTCCTTCCAAATTCAGCCTTAAATTTTTTTCCCATATATATATATATGTGTGTGTGTGAAAAAGATATGGTATGGAAACAGTTTTGATCAATGAAAGCCCACCCATGAATTTTGATAAATAACACCTGATTTGCTATAAAATTTATGATTCCAATTGATTGGTCATATGTTTTTTGGATATCATATTAGGACCATATATATACACATGCTTACATATTTACTTGCATTATAAATATACACATTTTGAGTCTGGACAGAAAATGGGCCAACCCATCTCAGCTCTTTGACATACCCCAATATACAAGTGATGTAATTACCCCGGGCAAATATTGGAATTTTGATGTTTATTGGATATTGGAGTGAATGACAAAATTGACTACGTAATAAGAAGAATTTTGTGAAGAAAAAAAAAGGAAAAAAAATCAAGCTATTAACTATTTTTAACTTCCAAGTAAGAAAGAACTCGTTTAAAGAGATGGCATCTCTTCAAAACATGTCTGGACTCTTGATAATTCAGATCTCAAATAATCTGGCCGAGCCAAATCTAGTCCTAATCTAAAAATGTGATGTGATAACCAGATACCTTCTATTTCATTTGGACCATTTTGTTCTAAATAGTGCTCAAACTCATGGGGAACGAAAAGCATAAGCAGAACGCATATAAAATGAGTTTGAAGAAGACATGTATCCAGAACAACGACAAAGTTTTTGGAACAAACTAAATATTCAGACCTTCTTAGATGGCACAATTATTCTTCAAAATATTTTTGAAAAATGAAGCATATTCTTGAAAAATGGTCTTCAAGGAATGAAGGGTAAAGCTTCCATTTATCTGAATTCAAATTCAAATTCTAACTAGTTCAATTAAGACAACCCAACACTTATTGTTATCTCAGCAACCTGAAGGGATGAGGGATCAATCATATGGATGGCTGAACCCTGTAGGAAGGTAGGGCGAAATTTAAAAAATTCCTCTCTCCCATGTGGGAATCGCATTCCCTGTTTTTGAAAAACTGCATTTTTCAATGATCAATCTTGAACCAAGAACCAAACCAGATCTGAACCAAAACAGTAAGAGGATATACTTGATACGAAGATGCAATATCTCCCAATGAAGGTGTTTACACTCAAAGAAAGACTCCAAAGACTGTTCCAACTGAAGATGACACAGTGAATGGTGGAGCAGAATCAGTAGGGTCTGTCCAACGAACCAAATTCTTCAGCAAGAATTCGATGGAGGCAATGAGCACGACTTTTGATCAGCCTTTCTCCAAAGACTGATATCAAGACACTTCTTGATCGCTCCTACAAAGGATGGAGATCGAACTGGTTGTGGCGGCAACTGGAAGAAATCGTAGGGAGAAGATGATGCAGTCACATTGTTGCTGTATTCTCTGTGGATGCTCTGAGATCTAATCTCTGAGATTTCTGGATGGGCTGAATGGTTCGCCCCCTCCTCCTTTTATAGCCTTAAAGAGAACTCCTAATCTCATTATGAGTTTCCTAATCCAAATCTGTATTTGGATAAGGAGTTCTCTTTAAGAGATAAGGATAAGCCCTTATCTTATCTGTAGATTAGATCAGCTCTCTCCTAATCTCATTAGGAGRTTTYCAKATCTGAATTCAGATYTGGACTCTCTGAGTGGATAGGGTAAGACCCTATCCTATCTACTGATTTAATCCCAGATCCGCCTCATCAATTAACTAGTCAAATTAGGCAAGTTCGAAATGGGCTTTAGGCCCAATAAGTCTAAGTGCTCAGAATGCTTCCAACCTGTTGCATAGTTGGGCTTCTTTGTATGGCATGGGACCCAAACATTGATCTACACATCAACCACATGGGTTCAGCCCAACCTTTGTTACAAGGCCTGGCCGAATTTATTGAAAAGACAGTGAACCCTCTGAAGCCCATCACATGGACTCCTAATGGGCCCAACACTTACACTAAGTGGTCCTTAGGCCAAACCACCTTATAAAAACCCAGGGATTGTGGGCAGATGCAAGATTAGCCCATCAGGTATTACCCTCAATGATCTTACACTTAACCTCTCAGCCCATAATGATCATACACTACCCGACAAGAGAGGACCTCTCCTTCGGCTGCAAGGAATAGTGCTGCACTCTCTACTCACATGGATCTCAGGAATTAAAACCTTTTGCAAACATTTTGAAACCATAATATATATATTTATATCCGTATATAAAATATATTTTGCAAAACAAATTTCAACGATTGAAATCAGCTGCCGGCAGTCCTGGTTTCCATTAGAGAGAGTGCATCCCTGATCATTACCTTTGCTCGACAAAGGGACTGATCCAATCACTATGATCACCCACTCAGATGAATTCTCGGACTGTCCCAACATACCCAGGTTTTGACCCCCGCTGAGGATCTCACTGATTGGCATATCAAAGATAGCCCAATCCGACACCTAGTGCAGTATCATAATCAAGTATAGGGGTCAGGTGTAACTTTCTAGTTTTGCCCACTAATCACCAAGGTCCAGGGCAATACTGGAAATCTGGTCCAGTTCAGGATTTCAAGTAAACCTACACTGCATGTACCTCGGGTCTCACCCTAGCAGCTGAGATAGGCCACCCCAACACTTGGCGGCACATCTGTGTCAGCCTTAGTAGGATAAAT